GACACAGATTTACTACAAATCACATGCTTGTACAATCTGCAAGTCCTGCATCTTAAAGTGTATGAGACATAGGGTCCTTTTCCTCGTCTGTGCCCAGGGGCCCATTGTCTCATAATCCATCCATGTCTACTGTAATTTACAAAACCCAGAGCCGGCACACCACAAGGATAAATATAGAAGCAGAGATGAGCACATTGTTTAACATACTGCATATCCTTTGTACGACAACAGCCAACATACTGTATATATCACAACAGAGAGAAGCAGCAAGATGTACATTCCAATGTTGCAGAAAGGGAGACCATCAGAACAAGACGTCTTACTTTGGTGGCAGTGGACACCTAACACTTTACAGGTCTACATACAGTCAGTGAAGCACTGCATTAAAAAGGAGTGAATAATCTAATGACCTATGAATTTGTGTAATGGTGCAATAGAAAAAAATCTTTTTTTTTTAAATGCATTCTTGTGTAACCTCTGTTACACAAGAGGTTATGTCAGTGGTTAGATCCTGTTATATCAGTGGATTTTCATTTCCTGGCCAAGGTGTTTGATGACATTAAGAGGATAAAACCAGGCTTCACAGTCTGCGAGTGACCTAAAAAAAAACCCCCACAAAACTCCAGTGATACCACCTTATTGAGATTTAATTACCATCACAAGCTTTGTAGTTCATTCACTAGACATCCAACAAATGAAATGTGTTTACAGACATCTTCCTCTTTCAGCCTCATTTCACTTGGCGCTCTATGATGTTGGCTCCACATAGTTGTTCGGATAAAGCCTGCAGAGATTTGCAGTTTTCATTATCCACACAAAATGGCCAGATGGAGAAAGAGTTCAGTGATGGAAGGCGTATTCTGTCTCTAGGGTTCCCACATTGCTGCAGAGCTCTGCCTCCCCTTAAAACCCCATGCGATGGTCTGGCTATGCAGAGCTGATTATCTCACTTTCCCATACATTCAAGCTAAAATACATGTAAATATAATGCTCAAAAAAATTAAGGGAACACTTGATCGTCACAGTATAACACCACATCAGTGAAACGTCAGGGATGTGAACCCAGATGTACTCAATAATTTTCACCCTATATCTAAACTCTGCTGTCTGGGTAAAATACTGGAGAGGCTGGTTAATGATCAGGTAAAGAATTTTTTAACTAGTAACTGTATTCTGAATCCATGTCAGTAAATTACAATGTACATTAGTAAAAGTTTTAAACTTAAATAAGTCATTTATCAAGATTAGATGTGTGATTTAATTGTTCCTTTAATAATTTTTTTTGAGCTGTGTATATTTCAATCTGTGCAGTGTTTAATTGTTTCACCGTTCACTGTGTTGCACTTTGTCTTCATACAGTTCATTTCCAATTTTCCATAATGTGCCACAACATGGATGGTGAAGGTCTGAGAGAAGAGCAGAACAATAAGAGAAACACAGAGAGCAAAGATGGCAGTTTTAGGTCTTGAAAGTAACAGCTAGTAGGAGGAAGAGATGGCAGAAAAAATTGCTTGACCGCTGCCTGGAGCTGTGCTGCTCCTAAATTTAGTCATTTTAAAGTCACAGGTATAGTAAGTGAAGTGAACATAGCAGAATACCTTACCGTGAACCTGCAGTACAACGCTGACCTGGATAAATGCTGCAGTATAACAGAAGCACAACTAAAATTGTATAAATGTAAACTTCTGTGGAACACGGCGCACACAGATGTGTATCCAGTAACAGAAGTTTGTTCTGAAAGGAAGAGGCTGTATATATAGTGCAAACAGACACTCTGTGTTTTCTGTAGAGCCTTCTCATTTTGCTCGAAACACTTGTTCTTATACTGAGTACATAAGTGTGTTAAATAGAAACACAAAGAACCACATAAAATAAAAAGGCAGAACTAAAATAATAAATGAGACAAAAGAAGGTAGAAGGAACGCTAGAAAAGAAGAGGGTGTGCACGGACACAGGTGCATCTCTAACTGCCTTGTTATACAAGATGAGCTTTTTTTGTATTCACTTTCCTGCATACGGTATCTGGACGTTAATTACAGGCGCAGGCAGGTAATCAGTATTCCTGTTGCTTTCTGGAAAGGTGTGGGGAACTGCTGCTGTGTGAGAGTTGCTTTTGTGCCTCCTTCAAAGCAGACACTGTTTAGGGAGGCTGTGCCCAGGCTTGCTGAAAATCTCATGGGCTTTTTGGCAGTTGACCTACAGCCTTGTTCATTGTACCTTGACCTATTCTGACAACACTAGAAGAGAATTTTTAGTGCTGCAGTGTAGCAACACAGACAGAATAGCTCAGAAAGAATATCTTCATTAAATATACAAAGCAGTATTTATTATATAGTACATGGCAACTTACACACCTGCACAATTAGTAATCTCACACAGGAAGTGAACATAATGTGTTGTGCTGGTAATGCACACCCACTCATCTTTATTTTGGCCTTTTCAAGTTAGAGATTTATTTATTTATTTTTGAGGAAGTGGAAAATATGAGGATGAAAGGCCATAAATTATTGTTAGATTTTCTCCTAGTCCTCATAACAAATAATAATCAATATTAAGATCCTTTCCCTATTGTACACTACTGTTGTTAATGCCAAGCCCATCTTCAGCTGCTGCCAACATATTTGGGTTGCAGTTTACATATTGTACTTGTGTAACAGCTCAGAAACAGCAAAGCAGAATAGTGTTATGGTAATGTTTCTTTTAGCAAATAGGGCCAAATATGATTCCACACCATACATGTAGCTTGCATCCTACTTAAGTGTCATTGTGGAAGGCACTGAATCATCACAACCTCTGGGGTTGGTGCTCAGGACTGTCCCAAGACTTGTGAGCATTTTTTCTTCATGGATTTGTAAATTCATAAAGTATGGTCAAATTTAGCTGATTACTATTTTTTGTATGGATTTATAGTTGCTATGCACAGGTGAACTGGTGACTGCTAAAGAGTTAGTATCCCAAAACCTACAGATACTATATCAACTGAATCTCTTTAGTTTTGAGTTGGTGTCTCTTCAGTTTCTAATTCATCTCTTTTTCCTCCATAAACAATCTGATTTTACATGTGTGCAGAAAGCTCTTACCCATTGTGTTAATATAAAGAAAACAATGCTGTTTGTAGACATAGCTCCTTCACTTGTTCATTCATTAAGACCTCACAACTCAAGGGCTTTAGCTTTCTGTCATAAGCCTTGTGGTTCTTTTGCAAGTTGCTAAACAGCAGGCATTTTGATCTGAGCTGAGAACAGTCAGGTTTTTTGTCTTATTTTCTTCTATTAACAAGAACAGTGGCTCTGCGAGTCCTCAGAGAATAAGATATACACTACTTAATGTAGGTATACATTACAATGTAATGTATGGTATAGTCAGCAACCGCTGACTATACTCATTCTCCTTTTGCACTTCTCTCCCATCTCTACAGCAGCTTCAACAGAAGCTGAACCAATTCATTGGAAGGCTCAGAAAAGTCAATTATGGTAATAGCTCCCTCTGCCAGGTAAGGTGGAAACTCAGTAAAACCATTGCACTTCAAATTCTTCTTACATATTCTTTATTTAGACCTCCTCAAGATGTGCATATCAATCCTCTGAGGTTTATAGGACACAGAGGCCAGAAAGCAGAGGAGAAGATTTTAAAAAAAGAGGCACTGGACCGCAAACCTCCATGCAGAGCTGAGCTAAGGCAAGTGAAGAAATGATGGAGGAAGCGAAGACCCAGTGTCAGAAGACCATAAGAATCCTTCTTACTTATTGGTGTAGCAGCTGGGCATCAAGGAATCTCCCGGCCTCATTATGGAACATCTATTCGCAGAAGTTTAAGCAGCAGTGCAACCATTGCTTGAAAGCTTCTGCTTATCTGCTCCTTTTCTTCTTCTTCTTCCTCTGCCTCTTTTCTTCTTTTTTTTTTAGATCAGATCACCCTGGGGAAGCAATATCATGCTTCATTCATCTTCAGACTATAAATAGGCTCTACAACTGACTGTGACTACTGTGCAGTAACTCCCATGTCATAGCCTAGGAAGTTTAGCTAGACACAGCAGGCCTGTAAAGCTTTGGACTTATCAACATGGTGAGGTGCATGGGGCTGGAATGAGAGGGATACTTGGCATTAAAACATTTTAGAACCAGTCTTCCTGTTTTTTTCCACCACATGATTTCCCTGTAATTTTAGACCCATCCCCTTGTTTTGTCACTATTCTCCCTGCTCCACCCAGCTTTACCCTCATTCGCCTGCATTTTATCTGTGTTATCCACCACTCAGTATTTCAGCCAGTAGCTAGCATTCACTCCATGCCAGATTGTCCACAGAGAAGTGGCTGTGGCATTCTTTCCTGTTTTCCTGTCAGCTTGTTTCTCTATTGAACTCCTACTTTGGATTGTTTGGGTTCACCTGTGTTCAGGCACATTATTCTCCTGGTTTCTGATCCGATGTCTCAGTGCAGTTTCTCATGTAACATTAAAAGTGAACCACACACCTTGAAAATATGAATAATGCAAATAATTATTTCAGGCAAAGCAACAAACCAAGGGTGTTGGGATCAGCAAGCAGTCAATTATATCTTAATTTTTGCTTTTGAGGGTGGGACCTTGCACGCTGCTTAAATAAACAGTTTAATTTGAAATTCAAGTTCCACTCAGATATAATATCTCCATCATACCCCTGCTGCACTCACCTTTCCTTCAGTCTGTCACTCCCTGTGGCTCCAGCTCATTTCAGAATACAGGTGGACATGATTTATTTTCTGCCTCCTCAGCGCTGCATTTCTCATCAAGGTTCATTTTTGTGCCCTCTTCCTCAGGCCCAGAGGGAGAGAAAAACACTAATAAATAAACGATGTTCAATAAAAGCAGAATTTAATGGAAATCTTGGCTTGAACCTAAAGTTATAGTCCTGCTGTATAATTAAATCTGATTGATGCCAGTTTCTTTGCCATCTGTTCTTTTTGACTCAGTGTCTTTTGTTTTTCTTTTCCCCTCCTTTCCTTCTCTCTCTCTTGTCTGCAGGATTTTGAGAACACAGTCCCTCGAATGGTATTACAACAATGTAAAGATTCGTTTCAAGAGGTTCGGCAGCGCCAAAGTTCTGAAGACTCTGTACACAAAGCACATTATTGAAAGAGGGGCCCTCTCTGATCTCCCAGGTAACTTCATCCATTCACCTTTTTAACAGTATGATCACTGTGCAGTTGTCATTCTTTTGCAGTTTATTTTTATCTTTTTGCCATAACACTGTTTACGTGATTTGCGATAAAAAACGCCACATCTGCAAATTAAAAATAACTCTTTTTTTTGTTGTTACATCTGTAGATGTGATGTGAACTTGCTTTTTCTAGTGCTCCTATGTTCCAGACAATACAGAAAACAATAAAAGGTATAATTAAATACTTAAAAAATAGTAGATACAACATAAACAGTTAAGCACTGATGTGGCTTTAATGCAGTTGTCTTATAATGCTGTTTGTTAAAGATTCAGTCAGATATTATTGGCTTGTTCAGTAAAACCTTTATTGGCAGTTATGAAATATTTCTCCAAGTTATGGTATCATTTGTTTCCATTTAGTGTGTCTTTGGTAGCAAATAATTAGATATGTCGAGTGTCTCGACAAGTATATTACAGCAATAGATTATCATGATTATATTCAGTTGAGCAGAATATCTTGACATTTTACTGTAAATAAGCAGTTAAACGAAAAAAAATTCAATTAGATGAAGATGTTGCTCGCTAACAAACTGTTATTTCATCATAATGCTCGGTTTATTCTGCTCCAAGAAAAAGAGCTTATATTATGTAAACCAGTCTTAATGTTTATTATATTGTGTTTGTTAAATGCTTAGAAAATTTAAGTTGTAAAAATGACATGTTGTAGTTTTTGTTGTGTGTTATGTGCTGGACTTCTTCACAGTGATGACAAGACTAAACACAGGCTATGATTCAAAACCATGAGTGTTATACACATGATCAGAAGATTAGATACCGAGCTATCACATTAGCGGTCACAACTTAGGCTCAGCTTTAAAATGGCATGATATAATTTATAGGCAACATTAATGCAGCCATCAAAACCCCTCCCACATGGGCCTCTGAGACCTGCTGGGTCCCGGTGAGCCACACTGTCGATACAGTAGATTATGTTTTGAATTAAAATAGGTACACTGGCTATCAGTTTGAAAAAGGAATCCAACGGCTGTCTCCCCTTTGAAACTCCGCTGTCCCACCCACCCAGCCCGATCTCCTCTCTACACTCTCCGTACGATGCCATTTACGTCACCTCACTTTTTGCTCCTGTCATAATTACTACAGTTGCTAGAGAATGTGCTTCTGGCCTGCTACTATAATTATGGAAATGATGACAACTAATAACGGCCATATAAAGGGCTGATAACATTTGAAGCAAAGGTCAGATTATGACTCTCCAGTTCATTTACTTTTATCTTTTTCTTTTTTTTCTTAGTTGTGGAGCCCTTCCAATTTTTTTTTTTATATCTGATGGATGCAGCACAGCTAAATGAAAACAAATGCTTTCATGAAAACTAGGACCAGAATTGTTTTGAAACTGTGGTTATATTGAGAAAATAGAATAAGAAGTGATAATCGTGCAGGCCAAATACTTTTCATCAAGCAGTGGGATCACTGTGCACCACAGCTGGTCTGATCCATTTCTGTCCAGTGAGTGGTTACAAAAACTGTCTTGACCTTCAACACTGAACTACAGCTAAGCCAGTGAGTCAGTGCCAGGACAACACCAACAGTGACCTTGCTGCTCTTCTACTGTAGCAACGAAACACAAGGGTTCACCTGGCCTTTCAAGAGAGTTGTCCTCGTTTTAGGCATTTCTACAGCATTTGAAGGAGACATCTCTACAGTATTATGGCTCAGTTATTTCAGACACCCATGGATGTATTGTCACTTTTGGGATCTTTTCTGTTGTCTCTGTTCTTTGAGCCGAGAGCTTGGTGACTCAGAGTACAGTGCTGTGTCTGGAGGGATTTTAAACACAAGCCCCCTGCAGAGGTTCTGCTCTCAAAAGCAAACAACTGCAGGGCTCGGACCACATTGGTGTCAAAGATGCAAATTTCTGTTTGTGTTCACCTGACATACACATTAATGGGTGTGTGTAGAATCTAGAGGGTTAACTGAAAACTCTGACCTTTTGCAGTTAGTCTTGACTTACTCTGTACAGTATGCAGCTGCACTCTGATTTTTAGGGGCATTTTGGGAAATAGTAATTATTTTACACTATTTTACATACATAACATTTTGAGTTGTAATATAACTTACATCCCACACTTGTTTCTTCCTGGTGGAAACGGAAGCAAATGGTGCCAATCAGTCCAACACTGATATTTATTTGTTGAGCTTTTGGCTAAATAGATTTTGTTTTATGCCTGGGCTTGTGTGCTACTCTCATTTTCCTTCCACTGCTGGCTACATGAATATTTTTTACATCTTGCTTGTTACCTGGAGCATTGTTGTTGTACAATTTCATGCTTTACAAAGATCTTCCCAGTCAAAGGCAGGCATTATAAAACTAACAATTAACTACTCAAAGCAACTGCTGATTATTAGACATTTTGTTCTATCTTTTCACATTCCACTTCCACTGTTTGAACTTTAAAGGCCGTGTTTGCCCTGGGACCAATTCTTGTCTGTATACACGCATGAGCAGCTTGTGAATGCTGCAGTTATAATTTTAAAAGATTACTGTTTTGTTCTATAACACCCTCTTCCATTTCACTTGTACTTTATCTTTATGTCAAATTTAAATTACATTGGCATCATCTCTACCAAAGGTGAGAAAAAGTCTTATCTCCCATATTAAAGAGACAAATCAACTGAGAGCAGGTCTGTTTACTTTCCACCACCGCCCAGCCTCTTGTGATGTAAACAGACATCCTGTCGAGTCAGCTGTTGTTCTGAGGACGTTTATGAGACTGTGTGCTGCCAGATGCCGCATTGTAATTGAAAGAAAACCGTCTGGACTCTCCTTCGTCCTCCCCCTACTGCTGCTGCTGCAGCTGCACTTCAGGAATGTTTATTTAAATGTGCAATTTACAAAGGTTCAGATACTGACATTTTTTTTAACAGAACAATAGAATTTTCTGATTCCTGTTGCATCAAACTGTCACTTCAGTCCACCTTATTAAACCATGTCCACATCAGTCTCATGTTGTAATGTGGAATAGCAGATGCTTGAGCTCTGGAAGGACAGTGAGGTACAATTTTGAAACCGCAAGATGTATATGTTTATATTTTGTTTTTCATCTAGCTGCAGTATTAAATGCACAAGGTTAAATAAGTGCCTGTGAAACACTGGAAGAACATTTATTTTAATCTCAGAGGCATTATATACTGTAAGTACATGTCCCTCAACAGAACATAAAATAATAATAATACTGAATATAATACTTTTAAGTGTTTAAATAGGTCTTCAGATGTTTTTCAAACATTTTTAAGAAGAAATGACAAGATTACATAATTACTTTAAGTACCTTATAACTAACCCTCAAAAACCTGAGCACCAGCTAAAATATCCTCAGAACACCAGAATGATGGTTCTTTAAAAAATTTAACCACACAGTCTAATAAAGACGTGCGCACTCACTCAGACGCCTTCACAGATGCAGGCCACCGCTGTCATTGGAACAGTTACCATGGCGATATCGAGCCATTTCCTCCTTGGCTCTCCTAAGTGGTGGAATTGCCAGGGTGAGGAGCTACTGTAAGGTGAGATGATGGTCATCGAGAGAAAATACCATGGTTGGACGTCTGGAGGAACGTATTCGACTGAGACACGTGAACACACACAGATCTTCCATCACCTCTATATTGATAAGGCTGTAGTGCCGTTCATGACCAGTCAGTGATGACAACATCACTCTGTTGTGTATCACCGCTGCCTTGTTTTATATATGATTTATCATATGATATGATTTTTGCATTTGATCAATGACAGAAGCATTGAGTTCTTTAGCAGTTGTAATCAATATTTTTAGATTAACACTAGTTCAAATGAGTGATTTGAAAAGACTCACTCATAGTAGAAAACACACAGAGAAATATCTGTAGATCCCCACAACTCGTACACAAGTGTCACTACTCATCAAAGTTGAGATTTAACTGTTTGGCTGTTTTTAGCAAACAATTTCTGAACGTCACTGTGTACACTACCTGTCCAGCACAAAACACTGGCTGAGAGAAAAAGTTATCAACTAGCTGGTGAACATGGTAGAGCAGTTAGCAACTATGAAGCCAGATATTACGCTCAGGAGATGATGAAGAGTAAAACAGTTAAAGAATGAAAGACCAAGTATATAAGATTAATGTAACTTGGTTTTGAGAAGCATGACTTCAAATAAATGCTACTGTGGCTCTGAGTCTGCTCAGTGTGTAAGTTATTTGCTATATGTGGACTATGAACTTTGTAGAGGTACTGAAAATGGTAATATGTTTTTAAGCTGTACATTTGTGCTTCAGCTTTTCTTAACCGCCCACCTGAATGACTGTACAATTCTTGCAAAGCAGCTCACTTTCTCTGACAGCAGTCCTTTTGTGTCTACATTGTCCTGAGCTGCCGCAGGTAATTTCCTCACCTATTGTCCCCTTTCACGCTGCCAGAGACTCTAATTCACATCTAACCATGCGAGAACAGTACAACACTCTTGAATGCTGTTTCAGTCAGTGTGAGTCAGCTCTAGGAGTGAAGGACGGGTGGAGCATGTAATGGTTTTGGGGGGACTTGTTACACCATGCTGCAAGTGGGAGGACTGGCTCTGTAAATGGTTCATGCATGGGTACGCTTCTCAAATTGGATGCATCAAACATTGTCCTTCTTCACTGAGCTCTAAGTCAGGTAATGTAAGAGTTTGGGACTTCTGGCTTATAGGCTCTAAAATGTTGCAGGGCTTTGACAAACAGCTTTTTGCCTTGCAGGAAAGCTGAAGTAGTATAAAATATCTGACAGCTGACTGTTAATGCAGCAGGCAAGGGAAAAAGAAGAAGAGGCCAGCTTTTTTTTGCTTGTTTGTTTGGCTTCATTCTTTCTTGTGTTGCATGCTGAAATCATTTTAAGAAGTATGCTGTTATTTTGCTAAATATATGTATGTACATTTGTGGGAGAAACAGTAGCAAGTCTGCATGCAATAGCAGCACTAGGGTGTGGAAGAGTGATGGCTTTATAATGGTGAGCTGTTTTGCTGGTACTGTAGTGCTACAGTTAGCTATGGGGGAGATCAGCGAGTGGCTCTGAAGCCAGGCTCGCACCAAACTAAAGGAAGCATTCAACTATCTTTGTGTGTTCAGCCGGAGACTGCAGCCTGCCTGGCAGGAGCGGCAACAGAATGTTCGTTAACTAGTGGCAGAGGCAGACACTGCTTGTCTGTGCTTGTGTTTTGTCAGCAGCCAAGGCTGAAGCTTTGGAACCAGGCCGAGGTTTGGGTTTGGTTTGGTTTTGGCTCCATTTAGTGGATGGAAATGAGCTCAAGTGAGGACTAGAGATGGAACTGAAGCCAGCATGCCCTTGTGTCTGGATCTGTGTCTGAGACCGGGTATGGGCTATGGTGATGGGGATGAGATGGAAATGTACCTGGAGCGTGGTCAGTCAGAGGACTTACTTCCTTTTTTCCCCAATAGTTTTCTATTTGACCTTGGCATTCTGACCATTTCTGTCTGACACTTTCTCTCCTTAATAAGCTACATGTTGAAGTGCAATTCATTTTTCCAGCTAGACTGATGAAAAGGCCACAGTAAATGGAAACCACAAGAGAAATATCTAAAAGGGATTAATGGGCCTCAAAGGGAAAATGTGGTTTTGAAGGCGGGGCTCTTGTAACCACTACATCTTCTCTGGGTTTTCACTGTCTCCTCTCTTCACCTCATGCCTTTAAAGAAGACCTGTCAGAGTTATATAACTAAATTTCACATGAGTGTCCCTTTTGCTGTAACTCTAGATTTTGGATTTGGCTTGAAAAAGATACCTATACAAATATAGCGCAAACTCACAAGAGACTTGGCCTGGATGAGCTATAAAGAAAACATACAACAATACACTACACTGTGATGACTACGTGCACTGAGAATATGGCTGTTTTTAAGCGCCAGTGTGATTTGTTTGAAAGGCAAGGGAAATTATCCGATGAATTGATAAATTGTCATTTTCTTTCAAGTGTCATTTTGGCATAATAGGGAAAAGCACCATGCATGCACAATAGACAAAATGATACAATTGGCAAGATGACAAAATAGGTGGGAATACAGTAGACAAGAGTACAAAAAGGGGTGTAGTTGTATTGTGTGTATTGTACCCTACTTGTAATGTGGGATAGGCGGAAAGGAAACTGTGTAGCTACATTATTATGTTGCATGATATGAGCAGAATATTAACATTTCTGTGGTAGTTCTGTTTGAAGGCTTTTATATGACAACTTCTTCTGTCTTTGTCTCGTTTAGAGAGCAGTGTTCCCGAGGGAAGCAACGAGAACAATGGCAGCGTCTGTGGCAGTGACTCGGCTTTCTACAGACAGAGTGAAGGTGAGAGATGTGGTGATGAATGTGCAGCGTTTGAAGGCAGTGCAGGTGGTTAATTCCAGCCAGTGTTACAATCAACATTATCATTTCCACTTTACAGTTCTTTGTTGCCTGCTGTGTTAGCCATATTGATTTTTTTTCCTCTTTTGTCCTTCCTTCTCCACCATCTCTTTAAAAGGTTGAGCTTTTATGTTTATTGCCCATTAATTGTTGCCCTGACAAATTGAGACTTTTTTGTAATGGGCCTGTGGGAAATCAGTGGCACACACTAAAATGAATTGCACACACACGGAGATGGTTCTCTTTTAAACATTTGACTGCACACACATTAAAATTTACAAACAAATATAAATCCATAGATACTCATAAAACCCCTGAAATGCCTTCTCACACGTACGTGTGCACACAAACAACTAAATGACCCCACTATAATGACACAGTAAACCCAATAAAATAATTTGTCAGTAATTATGAAGTGTTTGTGCAGTGATTAAGATCTGCCTTTGAAATAATGCCAGCTTTTGAAATGCCCACAAACACTCTCAAGGTGCAGTAGAAGTAGGAATTAGGGATTTAAGGAAGTCTGTAAATCCACCACATGGGTATATGCACGCCTCACAGATGCCTTTGTATGATCCATCCCTACGTATGTGCTGTCAGGACACAGTATGGCAGAGACACTCACAGTCGCCCTGCGTGTTGCTGAGGAGGCCATAGAGGAGGCCATCGCTAAGGCAGAGGAGTTCAGTGACAGCTTGGTGAGACATCCCTCTGTTCCTCTTCTACCTTTGTCTCTCTCCATTGCCCTCATCTCTTTTCCTTTATGTGCCTTTTAACATCCCCTCTGCTGTACATTCTCTTCCTTTCTATGCCCACTTTCTCAGTCACAGCCATTTACCTCTTCTCTTGCCTCGCTCATGGCATCAGTATCAGGTAATTCCCAGTCACTTTGAACAGAATGTATATGTGTGTGTCTGTGTGTGCAGGAGAAGCAGAATGAGGCTCGGTATCTGCGTGACCACAAAGAAGAGCTCATAGAGGAACTTGCCACAACCATTGTACAAAAGGTAGGTTGATCAAGAAAGCATTGTATTTTCGCATGTTTACTTTTCGTTAGTAGTAAATCGGATTCAAACGTGAATGCACACTGGAAAATGACATACAGTATGTCATACATAAAGCAAGGTGCCACCTCTGTCTTCACTTTGACAAATCAGTAAACAGTTATCATCTTAACCATAATCAATTGCATGTAAATTTGGGTAGAGAGATGGCACACAAACAGAAAATTAAAGGTCTTTTTTAAATAAACCTAACAGTATTGTTTGAGAAATGGACATATTCTCTGAAAATGATGTTAGTTTGTACCAGTATGTTAAAATTCAAATGACAGCTACTTTAATGTTATTTATATATTGTAATCCACAGTTATAGCATAAATGAGGACACAGTTTTTACTCATCCTTTTGAGTTTTAGTTAACATTTGTTGGCCATGGTGTCTTGAAAATGAAATTAAAACTATTTTTCATCCACTTTAAGGTTGTTGGTACATAACGACATGAAAATTCAAATGGCAACTGCATTATTTCAGTGTCATTGTAACAAATTATTCATTGCTAAATGTTATATTCTGTGATGGGATTGTATTTTTATTTTTCAATTAGCATTTATTTCTTATTTAAATAGAGCTTGCAATTTGCTTATATACTGTACTTCCCAGCTCTCTAATTTTTGTCTTCCTTTACTTTCTTCCTCTTCCTAATAAGATAATCCAGAGGAGGAAGCGTTCAGAGATGCACAGAGAGTATGACTTTGTCTGGTCTCAACCTCAGTCCCTGATCCAGCACAGTGAGCTGCCCTCGCCATCTCAACCTCACGCTTCTTCACAGGGACCACAGGATCCCCTCGCGACCTCCTACTCCCTCTGGGTCAGTGTCTGCCAGTATTCAAACCAATCATGCAACAAAAGCCAACCCAGTACAGTAAAGCCAAAACACAACAAGCCTGTCACTGAGTTTTTTGCACTGTGTGGTTTAGTGTTTCCTGTTTACACTACATTCCTCGCTTCACATCACATATTGTATGATGTTCCTCTGATTTGGTATGTGGACTGGCCATTCCCTCAGTGTGTTTGCCAGTAATGCTAAAGACAGGAAAGCTGCATTTGGCAGAAAGGTAGCACAGGTGAGGTTGTTGGCATGGTCCTACCTAGCATTGTATTTTGGTGTCTTTCTTTGTCTAGTGGTTTTCTTTGGGGGATCTTACAGTTGTTGTAATGAAAGTCATGAGTCTCACTTGACTCATTGATGTTAACATCATATTTTTCAAGGGGACGCTTAAAACCAATTTAAGAAAGATAATGTGTCACTGAGTTTTATGCTCTCTTCGGAAGTAGAAAAACACACTGTATAGTAGTCTCACTGTATAATATAATCACAATCTAATGGCACTTTTTTCACTGTTTTGAAGAGTTTTACAGTGGATTTCTCTTTAAATAAAAGCTAAGCATAAAAACCATTGTTATTTGACCCAATAATTTTGACTGATACATTAAAAGCAAATGAGAAGAAAAGAGACTCATAGTTTCAGTAAATGTGCCCGTTCTTATGGAAGTACACACAATATGGAAACGACACATTGCTTATACAGGCACGTAGATATAAAGTGCACACAGGAACTCATACACATGGGTATTAGACACACACACGTGGCAGTGGTTTACACGTTGCTAATTAGCAGGGACTCGTGGAGATTAGTCATTGTTCTGTGTTTGAGCAAAGCATCAAAGCTGTGCTCCCCAGGCCCTCTTGTTCTGCTTCCCACTGTTTTGCTCAGCAAAGATCAAAGTTTCTGAAATACGAAGGGATTCTTCTCAGCGGCTCAGCTCGCCATGGGACGGGCTCTGTTTAACAGCTGTCTGCAAACACCCAATCATTCTTTCATTCTAAAGATATTTATGGTTCTGGGGTAACTGCATGAAGAGAAACTTGTAGAGCTGCCCTTGTCTGGCTAGTTATGTCATTGTCCTCTGGCTCCACCTGCTGATGAGAAGTAGGAATCACAGCCACAGTTGTACATATCTATATGTTCATTTGTTGCTGGCTACTGTGCCACTGCAACATTTATCTCTCCGGAGCTTTCTGACTGACAGTCTGTCTGAGGGTCTGCTCAGACTCAAGTTAAAAACTGCCTCATAGTTATAATGGTCAGCTGCAAATTTCCAAGGCTGTCAAACATCTTCTTCACTAAAGTGTCTCTGAAACAGACTATTCACCCAACTGTCATTGTAAAATGTGTGTGTTGCTATCTGTGTGTGTGTGTGTGTGTGTGTCTTTGCAGCAGCCATGGTCAGCGTTCTCCCTGTTCAGGTTGTCAGAATTGGAACTTTATTTTTCAGGGATACAAAGATGGGGGTCCCCAGTGTGGATTAGATCTATACATGCTGACTCATCTTACTGAAATGCTCAACAGTGATGATCCTGCAGTTTGAGAGCTAGACAGAGCCTTCTCCCTATTGACCACATCAGACCTCTGCAGTTGGACTGCACTGCAACTAAAATGGAGAAAATGTAATACAGATCCTTATGTGAAGGGTTCTCCTCAGTTTAAAACAAGAACAGAGCAGACTTGACTGAGGATGCAGGGACCACAGGCTTGTGGTAGCCTGAGAACCACCATCCACACTGCATATTGCATTCTGATTTGCAACTACAGTATAATCAGCTGCACATATTTTAAATGGCTGTATTGCTTACAAAGGGCTCTACACTGCCCGGCATGACCGTATTGTTGACTTAACAGCTGCTGCTGTTAAAGAGGTGTTACCAAGACGTAATTATGTATAAACATTCTTGGTGATGCCAGCATGGGCTAGTATTTTTTATGACATGCTTTGTAATGTTCCCAACACCCCAGGTGTTTTTTCAGAATGAAGTTCTAATCCTAAAGAGTGGCTGTGTTTTTGACCTCTACCTGGATGACTCCTTTTTTGATAAACTGATATGAGCCAGAATATGATTGTAGACTGGTGATACTGATATGTGGCAGCTTAGGATATGCTCACAAATTGTCTGTTTGCGGGCTGCGATCTCCAGGCTTGACAAAAAAAACAAAAAAAAAACCAAAAGCCAAAGCACTATGCATTATGTTCTCTTTCTGCAGTAACTGGAAGCCTGGCTGTGTGGTGCTGTTGCCTTAATCCATGAAGTGTTACAAGGGACATGTTGCCTCTGTAAATGTTGATATTATTGGTGGATTCAAATAAAGTATCAAAAGTGTGTGTATATGTGTGTGTTCCTCCAGCGGTCACAGTCAGCGTTCTCCCTCACCAGTGATGACTCCCCAGAGAAGGGTCCAGAGGACGAGGGTGCTGTAGCCAGCAGTGGCTTGCAGGACTATGCTTCTCTGAAGAGAGAGGGCAAGGCCACATCACTACCCAGCTGGAAGAGTATGGATCGCCTGGACAACTCCAGTAAATTTCTCCCTCACAGACTAATACTAAGTAGTGAAAAGCAGAGAGGAAGTTAAAATGAGGGAGAGTGAGATTACATCTACTGTATATATTATGTCCAAACTGAACAAGTTGCTCACTGGAGACACAACATTTTACACTAAGGTATTTCAATTCATGCCTCTATTAGGTATTATAATAACTGCAGTCATTTGTTTATTAAATGGTCTTTTAGTTCAATGTAATCTCCCAAGAGTCCATTGTAAAATCACATAGACATCTCAAAAACACAATATGCCTGTAGCATACATACTCACACAAAGTAGAAACTCTATAGACAGCATAATCTTGCAGTCTTGTGTTAAATAATTACCTGTAATAATAATTTATCCTGTTACCCTAATGTGTTGCAACTGCTTGGCTTAATGAGAGCATACAGATGCTTAAGAGTTTTTCTAAACCTCTTGTTTGCTGGTTGTATGTCATTCAGGTGCATCCTCAGTTCTCCAAAGCCCAGATGGTAACTGGATTGCCCTGCACAGTTCTCAGCTGTCTCGGCCCAGCCTGCTAACCAAGAGGAAAAGCCTTGTGTTCAGTGTGTTGGAAAAAGAGTCCGGTGTTGTCTCAGCATATGACGAGATGGGATCTGACTCTGAGGGGGACGATGAAGGCAGCTGGGGTGCAGCTCTACAACAGTTCCAGTGCAAACTGTCAGATGAGACTTACTACACAGACTCACAGCACGACCCAGAGTGGACATACACCCAGCATCTTCCTGTTACATCACCATCCTCTGGCCAGTACACTAACACAGAGACGCTCAACTCAGACTCTGAGGCCTCATCAATGCTGTCCGTGTGTCCTCGTAAACCACCTCACAATGCGTTGAGGAAGAAAGGACCACCAGACACACACCTGCGTCCTCTTCACCAGCCCCTGTACCACCACCATCTTCACCAGAACCTCTCTCCATATCCACCCCACTCTGAGGCACTGGATGTCAACTTTAATCCTAAGGTTATTTGTGTTTAAATTCAAACTTCTAAGGTCAAGGTCAAAGTCAAAGTGTTTATTGTCATATGCACAGTTAGGACAGCAATATAATAAAAAAATATATATATAATAAGAGAATGTATGCTGCATGGGAGCAACATGTGCAGTAGTCGGTAGTCAATGTGCAATTATGCATGTGCAAACTGGGAATGTAAACAGTACAGGTCGACAGTACATGACGTATTTCCTGGTAATAAACTCCTCAGCTGTTTAGGAGTCTGATGGCAGAGGGAAAGAAAGAGTTGAATTAATATGTGTGTAACAAAGTCTGGTGTAAATATTGTCTTTAATATTGTTGTATGGAATGACCCATACTGGAAACATTACCAGTACAATAATGTAAAAATACCTTGTTTCAAGTAAACATCCTGCATTCAAATCTTATTTAACAAAAAAAATACAAAATTATTATCAGTAAAACATATGTAAACTAAGTAAAAGGCAACTGTTACTGACATTATATTCAACTGTAATTAGTGATGCATGAGCGTGCAATGTAAGCAGCACATGTAGCTAGTCAAGGTGGAGCTAGTTACTTAGCTACTTAACATACAGTTTAATCTAGCAGTTCCCAACCTGCTGCAAGTTATGCTTCACAACTAAAGTATGTATTCATTTTGTGGATGTTTCACTAATTTTTGCTTTTGTGTGTGTGTGTAACATACAGTACATGTAGCATAATATTTTAGTTGATAATATTTCAGTCTCAAACAATTATTTACATGAAACCTTGAAAGAAGTTTAGAAGGGAAATGTCTCTCCTAGACATCAGAAACACAACAGGGGCCAAAAATATTCCTTATCTGAAAACCAAATAGTAACTATAACTGTCAGATAAATGTAATGGAGTAAAAAGTTAATTATTTCCCTCTGGAATGTAATGGAACTATGTAGGCAGAAGTATAAAGTCCCATGTCATCAAATGGAAGTAAGTACAAAAATCTTAAATCTGTGCATCAGTGCAATACTTTTACTTTCCTCTGCTGTTCCTAGGTGGCAGGAGACAGCAGCGAGGCTGAGGAGAGGCAGAGTGACCCCATCAGAAGGTCGCGGCGACGCAGGAAAAGCAAGAGAGAGCTGGCCACAGAGCAGAGTAGGCCTGTAGATCTGAGCCATGCACAGTCTCTCTACCCCTTAGTACAGGTAAATTATCAAAAATATAGGTGGTTATTAATAGTATCTGACTAGGAGTTCCTAGTGTGACAGTGGGAAAAAAAAAATCCATATGAGTGGTTGTAAAATATTGTATCGTGTTTCTTCAGCAAGATATTTTTTTATTTGATAATGCAGTTCATGTTCCTTAATATTTTCTGCAACTCTGTAGTTGTGTTTTTTTCATTGCATATTTATATTATTTAGATAGTTTTGGATTGTTTCTCCTCTTTGATTGGATTATTTTGCCTCTCTCTTCATTCAAGGAGAACAGTGGTTTTCTGCTTAACGTCTTACAGAAGAGGGGTTTTAGTGAGGAACAGACAGTACCTGACACTATGCCACTGGCCACAGCTGCAACAAACACCTTCAGATTAAATGTAATGACACCAGAGGCAGTAAACTTAGACACAGTGGCCCTGAATTCAACAGCCCCAAGCCCCCCTCAGCCCTGCTCAGTAGCTTTGGGAACCCAGCATTTTCCCAACAGCTCAGGGCCTGAAAACCCTCTAGAAGAGGATCTGCAATCCAGAGTCAGTCAACTGGCAAACTGTGCCAACACCAAGGACAGCAGTTCTTCTGAAGAGGAGTGCACAAAGTGGACTGCAGCCAAACAGACAAATAAAATAAATGGCAGACAGAAAGAGAAGTTGAGGCCAAAAGCCACAGAAGTAGAAAAGCAGAGGGCGAGTGAAACAGTGGAACAAGTGAAGGGAGAGGAGGTGAAAAGAAGTGAGAGAATAATGAGTCCTTCAGTGAGAGAAGAAGGAAGAGTTTGGGAGAGTAGGTTAGAGAAAGGAGTGGGAAATTTGGAAGAGAATATAGACAGCCAGGGGAAAAAAAGAGGAGACAAAAAAAGGCTGACTAGACAAAGTAAGAGACAACATAAAAGAGATTTAGAGAACGAAACGAGACCGAAATGCAGTACAAGGAGTGGATCCAGCACGAGTTCAGCTGTTGTTTCACCGTCTTCCCAGGAGGGGGTGCTGTCACACAACCAGGTAAGGAGATGAGAAGAAAGTAGATATAGGGCTTCTAGCCACCTGTCAGTCGCTGTAGAAAATGCTAATGGGTTCATGAAACAAGATGTCATTCATAGCACTGGAGTCAGCTTCATAAGTTCTCTCGAATCCTTTCAAAAAGTTGCTCTCAGCATTTTTGAGACAGTGTCTTTAGAGGAAACTCATAGCTGTGCCAATTAAGAAGACTCCTAATGGTAAGAGAAGGTCCTGTATGGTTATGGCCCTTGATGTGTTTCCACAGCTTACTTTGTTTTTTTGTTTGTTTGTTTTTCCCTCCTTCTTTGTGCTTCTGTGTTGTGTTTCTGTGTGGATGTGCTTATGACTGTGTGTGTCAGGAGGGACTGAATGATGTGGAGCAACAGCAGAGGGATCAGTTGTGTCCCTTGCAGCAGGGGAGATATTGGCTAGACAGTAAACACATCTTGTGATATCTAGATGCCATGCTTGAGGACATGCACACAAATATGTTACACATAGTTTGACAACACATGCATTCACACTTAATTCACTGTAATGCATTTACTTGCTTGCATGCTTTTTGCAAATAATGTAGACAGTGTCACATCAATTCTACAGTAATATTAGTGAAGCTTTTGCTATGAGTCCCATAAAAATGTCAAGTTTATTTAATGATATAGGGAGACATCACGATCTATGAGATATCACGCCCGTCCTGGCTGAAGACATCTCTATTTACACTTTAAAACAAGTAACCTGTAGTGATGTTTGTACGGCCCTGCCTGCAAATATAAACCACCATCACCACAGTTTTCCCTCAGTTCTAAGTTCTCAATTCCACTCCAAAGACCTCACCCTACAGACTTGGCTTGCTATTGGTATGAACTTTGTGTTTTAGTTGTTAAGAATATGGCTCAAAATCGGTTAAACTGTTCTTGCTGATGTTAGCAACAGCTGCCTTAGTTGATGAATGTACTAGCCATGGAATGCTGATTTTGAGTGCGTTGTTCTGTATGCTTGTCTCGTAGCTCAGATAGCTACACTAATAGTGCTATCCACAATGAGAGTTAAAGTTAATGCTGCAAAGAAAACGTCTACCATCCACCTCTGTCCTCATGGCTTCTTTTCACATGAGGAGGACCAGTAAAAAGTCTGCCCTGTCTGCCTGGGAATTCTTCATGTTAGGTGCTGGAAAAGGACCCCTTCCTCTCTGAATCAGGATCCTCAGCTCCACCTTTGTCCATCAACAAAGAGTCTCTGGCTAGAATCTGAGCTCTTCTGTACCTCATTCCACTGCTTCATTGAAACATAAGTCATAACCTTTCAGTCTTACTATGGCTTAGTGATACTGTAGAAGCCACCAGTCCATGATCATCACTTTGTGTGAAGATGCTACTAAAGCTTACTTCATTATGTATAATTTTATTAGCTGCAGGAAGTTCTGCAAACAAGCGGTGACAAAAAAAGCAGCTTCTGACACATGTTAAAAGAAATGGTCAGCTGCGGTTTTGTTTTTAACTTGACTGCATTTGTACAGTATAAATCTTCTATTGTTTTCAGGTGATGACATTGATGGTATGATCCCCAAAGACCACAGTTAAAAGCTACGTTTATTGCTTCTTTTTTTACGCCATGTCATCATCAAACCCATTTAAAGTAAACCCACTATCAAAACCTACACAAAGTCATGTAGATACACACAAAACACATGCATACACAATAATGTACACTAATAAGCTCACCTCCTGTACTTGTGTTACATCTTAGTCATGTGGGTCAATGTTAGTCATTAACCAGACTCATTGTAAGGGTGACAATGAGTAATGCTTTTCTCTAAGAAGGTGTATGACACATGTACTAGAGTGATCTATTTCTATTGGTTTTACAGCTCCCTTTGAAACCCACCATGATGGTTCAGTGTGATATCATCAGAGGAAATATGACAGTGTATTTGTGGCTTTTCGGTCTTTGTTTTTCGTTTTCTCAAGATTTGCCCTCTTTTGAGAAGTATCTAGTATTTTTTTTTTTTTATTAAATGTAAATAAAAAACTGTCACACTGTTTACATCACCAGTGGTATATGTATATACAGAGTATTAGGTATAGGGACAAACATCATGATCGTTCCAAATATATACATGAACATACACACGTTTCTATTTGTTCAGGTGGTGCTTCCACATTTCTACATTTTGATGAGCTGAGATTTACATTACTGAGTGTACAAAAAAAGAATAATTTTATAACATATAAGGTAGGTGCGGTTTGATGGTACACAGGTTTAACAGTTATTTTTTGTTTTTTTAAATGTTTAAAAATACAGCTATTTACATAATGTCTTGAATGAATGAATGTCTTGAGCCTTTGAACCAGGTTTCCCTCAAGATTTTATCCACAAAAACTGCTTTGCTTCTAACCAGACACAGCTTGTAATTGACCTTTCCTATAGTGTAGCACAAAATGAATGCGACATGACCCCCCCCCTCCTTGAATCTGTAACCTACTCTTCATTAAAATGCTTCTAACCCAAATCCACCCCAGCTATTAACTATGATAATTAAATATTGTATTACCAAACCACAGAACTTGTATTCCAAAGTGACTCATATTTTCTTTTTTCTTGCTAACTTTGTATTTTTATCTTAATATATAATTAAACTGTAAAAGATATATATATATATATATACACACACACACACACACTCTCACAAGTTATCTTTCAGCGCCAGTGGCATTAAGACGTGTGTGTGTGTGTCAGACTGTTTGATCTTCTCAGTGATGGTGTGGTTGTTTAGAGCAGACAAGAACATCAGGCTCTTAACAAACATCCATTTCTCCATCGACCAAAGTCAATATCTCACAACATCCACCTCTGCTTCTCAGTCTCTCAGATCAGTGAAAGGTGTTTATAGGTTTCGTTTCCTACCTCTCCTCTTTCACCCAGCATTGTAACTTGTCTTTACCAAAGCACTGCCTATCATCTCTTTTTTTTACTCCTACCTTCCTGTCACATACTAAAAGTCCTTTCAGACTATCTTGCTGAGAGGGATCAATACACCTCTGATCACACTGATCAAAGCAAAGCCAGTGATCCCATTCATTACTGAATTTCAGGACTTTCCTTGTTGTGTGTTTTCATCTATCAAAATTAGAAAAAAAAACTGGAGCTTTCTTTATAAGGCATTGAATTATTTGTCTGAGACAGCATTTAATTGGGACTGGGAGTGACTGGTAGTAAACACAGTGACAAAAGCATTCAGACATCTCTGCCAACTGATTTGTCTGTCTAAACCAAAATTCTTTAATTAAGCTTCTAAGGAACACTTTTTGGTCACCTATGTTGGAAACTCGTCTACAAAATAGAATTATTAAAGGTCAAAAATTGAATATTTTTCATCAGCATGTATATTTTGGTAATGGGCATACAATTTCTGATACTATGTTTTAATGTGAAATTGGTCCCTGTTTGAAAATGAATAGCTAATTGAATTCCCAATTTCTCAGCTAAATCAAATCAAAACAAATCAAATTTTATTTGTATAGCACCAAATCACAACAAAAGTCATCTCAGGACACTTTACAAAGTAAGGTCTAGACCTTACTGTTATCAATGTTATTACATACGGAAAACCCAACAAATCCCCCTTGAGCAAGCACTTGGCGACAGTGGGGAGGAAAAACTCCCTTTAACGGAAGAAACCTCCAACAGACCCCGGCTCTTGGTGGGCGGCCTTCTGCCTCGACTGGTTGGGGTGAGTGGATAGAGGAGAGACTGAAGAAGAAAAGCAACAAGACACAACAATCAAACACTGATCAGGTTGATGTGGCTGGTGACTGCTTGTCAGGGACGCAGAGCTCCAGGGCCCGGGCAACCTGCAGAAAGGTACAGGGAGAGAGAGAGGACACACTACGGGAGA